CCTCCTCCTGCTCTCACCCCTCCTGTCTCTCCTCTCCCACCCCTAGCATCCTGCAGAGGTGCGGGAGGGCTGGCCCTGGGCAGCCCTTGGCTTCCTGTCCTCTTGCCCTGACTGTCCACACCCCCATGCAGGCCCTCCTCCCCAGGGGCCTTCACTCCTCCTGGCGTAGTGAGAGGTCTCCTCCTCCCTCCTCCTTCATGCCACATGCTGGTTGTCCAGCCTGGACCCTCTGGCTACCCCCAGAGAGGACCTGCAGGCCCTAGCATGGGGGCTCTGGCCTCCCCTCTGGGGGTCCCTGGGCTGACGCGCTCGCCCCTTCTTGTCTTTTAGGTGGTGAGAAAGCAGCGGAATCTCAAGGCCCTGCAAGGTGACTGGGCCAGCGGGTGGCTCACCTCCCCTCCCTGGGAAGGGGGTCCCAGGAGCCTCCTGGTGGGAGGGGAGGGTTCGCTCCCCCAGACGTCTGCGGAACAGGGGACATTGCTGTGCCTCCCTGCCCACCAGCGGTCAGCACCACCCGCGGCTCTTTCCCAGTGTCCCAGGGGGCTGCAGCTGCCCGTCTCTCAGCCTTGCTGGGCTGGGCAGGGTCTGCAGTGTTTCAGCTGCAGGCTCCTCAGCTCGAGGTGTGGTGTGCGTGCATGCGTGTGACCATGAGCGTGTACCGTGATCGTGGCATGGCCCACATTCCTACCTACGACCTGCCATGTGCTCACCCTCCCTTCACGGTGTGCTGGACGCTCAGGGCGGTTCTCAGGTGTATGCTCACCGCGTCCCTGTGACCAGCCATGCAGCCAGTGTGCTCGCGCTGGGCCTGGCCTGTGCTCACAGTCGCGGGCTCTGCACAGAGTGTGTTCACACGTGCGTCCAGAGCGTCTGCAGGTGTCCAGGTCTAGGGCCTGGTGTCTGGGAGAAGCTGTCCTCCCTGTGTGCATCTGCAGAGCGGGCTGCCCTGTCCTGAGGGCGTTCCCTGCAGAGGGCCGCCGGCCTGTTTGGCTGGTGCAGCGTCCTTCCCTGGACACCGTGCGGGCTCTGCGCAGTGAGTCAGTCCCCCGACAGGAGGGCTGGTGCTCTGGGACGGTGAGGGGCTCTCTGGGGACTCCCAGAGGCACGGGGGGCGTGCCTGGGAAGGGCCGTCTTCGTGATGCGAACACAGGTACTGGCCACTGGTACTGCCCCACCGGCAAGAGCAGGGCTCAGGAGCAGACCTTGTCCGGCCTCTGTGTGGGGCAGTTGGGGCTGTCTGTCCTCCTTACAAGCAGGCTCTGCTCAGACACGGCTCGTGGGGACTCTCCACATGCTCCCATCCCCAGCAGGGACCCCCAAGCGTAATACGGAGTGGCGAGCAGTGCTCACCAGCAGTGCGCAGGAGGAGAATGGCCACAAGGGTCCACCTGAAACACAGCACCTGCCTCCCAGGGAGGGAGCTGTGAGCAACAGGGAAGGGACCCGGTGAACTGCCTGGGGAGGCTTTGGGGAGAGCCCAAGGCATTGCTCCCAGGAAAATACGCAGAGTCCCGAAACAGGGTCCCACCCAGGTGGGCGGGTGGCACACACCTGCAATCCCAGCTACTCAGGAGGCTGAGGCAGGAGGAGCACAAGTTGGAGGTCAGCCTCAGCAACTCAGAAATGCACAGCAAGAAAAAAGAGGCAAATTGTGAGCCTTGTGCACAGACTGACGTGTTAAGCCAGTGTCAGTTCCACCGCAGGCGTGGTCTTCTGCTCGGGCAATTGTGCTGAGCGTGATTCTAGCCTCAAAACTGGCCAAGCCAGGAGGC